CATTTAGCGTCAGAACAGCCATATCAGTCTTTCATCAAAACACGACGATTATTGCTATATTTTTTGGGAAGTTAAACACATGTAATCATTATATAATAAGTATAATTATACAACAGCTGGATTTGGGAAACACACAGGTGATCAGAAACAGAAAGAAGCTGCTGTGTTTCATCCTTCAGGTTTTATTTCTCTCCCTGATGGACGCTGCGTAAAAAAAACGTCACGTGGATTATTTTCCACCTTTTTCGCTGCTGCAAACAAGGAGTCAATATCTCGTTCATCCCCGCGCGTGCGCCCCATCCATTATGATTTACCAATAAGTGATCACGTTTACTCGGTGATTAAACAGCAGATTTGGGGGTTGTGTGTGAAATACAGGATGAATAATGCGGCTCTGCACGTTCCTCCTCCTGCTTCCTGGTGCTGCTGCAGGCCTTCTGTGGACCAGCATGCACTGCACGTCCCTGGTCGCAGAAAACACAACTGCTTCATTTTCTCCCAATAAAATATGAATTTATGAATCTTGACATGTCACTCGCTGCCTGCAAACTCATCTGCTAGCTCTCCCTCCTTCCTTTCACCCCTTTCCCTGCAGAAAATACATTTTGCATTTCTTTTTTTGGCTCGTTCTGTTTATTCTCCAGCACATGCATGGTCATTTAAAGGTCACCGCAATGTCACCTGACCCCTGACCTCTTCGCTATTGGCTGCTTGTAATATTGGAGATGGAGGCTTTCGAGGCAGCCATACATGTCCCTCAGGATGAGAGCATCAGCTAAATGGTTAAAATCTAAACACGTTCAATATTGGCTTTAGATTAAAAGCTTATTCTGCACCCGCCATATTGAAAGTCACTTTGCGGGAGAGATACAGCAAGAATTGTGAGTATTGCTCGTTATATTTATAGCTGTGTTGGTGATGGAGGGTTTGTAGGTTCTTCACTGTAAGTCCCTCTGAGAGCAGCAGCAGCTAAATGGCTGAAATGTAAATGTTTTGGCTGTAATGTTGCTGATGCTGCTGCAGCTCGGAGGAAAGTGACTCCTGATGGGAGCATGAGCTAAATGCTTAAAATGGAAATGGCCTCAGTGCTTTTAGTTAAAGCTGCAGAGACTTTGCACACGTTACAATGTATATTATTATAGTTTACTTAAAAGTATAGTGTTTCTAACTTATTCTGTATATTGTGTTTTTATTTCTATTTCATATGCAATGTATTTTTTACGTGCTGCTGCAACGAAAACAAATTCTGGATTAATAAAGTATTTTTTATATGATCTAATCTTATATAAAATGGGCTTTTTGTGCAGTTCAAATCATCAGTTACACAGGTGGAAAGTGAATATATTTGTTGCCATAACTCCTCATTGCAGGAATACAGGATGTGTACAGTAATAGAGGATATAAGCAGAGGTGGAAGAAGTAATTTACTTGAGTAAAAGAAGGGTATAAAATACTCTGTTACAAGTACAAGTCTGGCATTCAAATTATACTTAAGTAAAAGTACAATACACATCAATGTAAGTAGGAATACAGAACGTACTCAAACTCCATCACCATCACATACTTTGAATGTATATTACATTTTTTATGTTGAATACAAGTGATATGTTCTTGGACCCAGGCCAGAACAAACACTCAGTCACTTCAGGATGCAATTTCCTTACATGGTGCATGAATGTTCTGGTGAGGGTTGTTTTATTTGTCCAGTGCCTAAGACACATTTCCATGTTATGTAAGTTTAAAGGACAATACATTAATGTGAATCTGGACTATAGCAGAATCATTTATATCACTGGATTTGGGGTGAAGATAAATGTTTCTGCTATGTGGAGCTAATGAATTATCATTCAGTATGTCACTATGTCAATAATATTTGTGTATGAATAAGAAACCTGTCAAATAAATGAGTAAAAAGTTCAATATTTTATTCAAAATAGTAGGTACTGGAGTAGTAATTAGCATAACATGAAAAATACTCAATAAATAATAATATGAATGTGCAGTGTTCAGAGCTGGGCCTTGCAGCAGCTCCAGTGTCGGCTCGGATCGTTCCGCCACAGAAGGTGAACTTTCACCCCGACCTCCAAAAGAACCTTTTTATTCTCGCTCTGTAGCCGTTGACCATTTTACCTCCAGCTACTCCTCGCCATCCACACACACGCACATCCCTCCGTGCTGCGGCAGCGCGAGGCGGATCGATAGGGCAGCATCTGCTCCGGGAAGCCGGCGGTCCCACACCACGCAGCTCCACTGTCTCCAAACTGCTCATCTCTGAAAATTAAACTGACAGACACATATAATTAGTATGCGCTCCTGCTCCAGTCTGTGCTCTCGGAGACACATGCAGACTATATGTATATCCACCCTTTATGTTCCTGCTGAAACGTAATCAAGTACATTTACTCGAGTACAATTTCGAGTTACTTGGAGTATTTCCCATGTAATGCATCTTTACCCTTGTACTTTCCACTATCTGGAAACCAATATTGTATGTTTGACTCCATTACATTTATTTGACTGTTTAAGTTACTTTATAGATCCATATATCTAATACAAATCAACAATACAAAAACATACATCAACACACAATTAAGTCATCCAACAGCATATATATATATATATATATATATATATATACAATTAGCTCCACCTTTACCATCAGTAGACACATTAATTCATCAATCATTAGTCATTTAATATATGATTCTGAAATGGGCTTTCACACATAACTAGTACTTTAATGTTGATACTTATAAGTATAAGTAAGTATTTGAATGCAGGACTTTTATTGTAACACAGTATTTTCACAATGTAGTATTACTACTTTTACTGAAGTAGAATATCTGAGTATTTCTTCCACCACTGCTTCTTTCACAAATGTGCACCAAACGCACATGTGTGCACACAATACAATACAGGCCTGGCTACATGCACGCACACATGGACGCCCTCACAGGCCTAAGTGACCACACAGAGCCTTGCACACGCGTAACACACACGCCTAAATTAGACACACATCCAAGCGTACATATGGCACGCTTAATTGACACAAAATTACATTCATTGGACACTCTAGCACGTGCAAATGGGCACGCGCTGCCAGCAGGCCTGCAGTATGTGCTCGTGCTGCAGCAGCCAGCAGGTCGAGGGTCCTCTGGAAAAAGGGGTCGCATTGATCCTGTTGAGGGACTTTTCAGACTGAAGTGTTGGAGCTGTGAGTGCTGATTAAGAGCTGGGATAAGCACGAGCGTCACTTGACAGCTTTTACCCCTGAAAGTTGGGACAAGAGGAGTCAGGACATTACAACAAATATATATATCTAGGTTGTTTGGTGCTAAAAACAACGAAATGCAGGATGTGGCCTGGTGTGGAGATGATGCACAGCAGAGTGGAAACGCATAGATTTTTTTCTCTGGAGTCAATAAGTTAGTGAGGCGATTTACATAATTGCATATTCACCCTTAATTCGTTTTTTAAAATCCCCTCGGGGCCTTACAATCTATTCATGCACTGGTATTAGAAATGAGAAATTAAAGTACAAGTTGATTTATTTCTAAAAAATGATGAAACATTGTAAAAATACAAGAAAAACATGAAATTCCTGTTTATTACGTCTTATCTCCATGTTACAGATCATTCTTCACAGTCACAAGAGCAGCCCTCACAATATATTCCTGCATTGATATTATAATTATAAATCAAAGTACATGTTACTGTAATTTAAAAAATAATTAAAAGAATCTTCAAAATAAGGAAATTCCTGTATATTATCTATCTATATCTATCTCCACGTTACAGACCATTCCTCACAGTCACAATAGCAGCACGTGTTAGATACAAAAAGGAACAAAACGACATTATGTGCAGCTTGTGAAACCATTAATCAGATATACAGTGACCAGGATGTGCGCACATAATTCAGAAGTTGTGCATGCAATCATCTGCCTTAACCTGCAGTGGGGTTATGAGCAAGGGAGCATCTCCACACCCCCTCCCCCCCGGAGAGAAAGGGTTAATTGGAGTAGGAATTTCATCGCACATCTGTCAGATTTTTAAGGCCGTGACGCACTGAAAGCAGGGAGTCAATGTGAGCAAAGGGGGGAAGGAGGAGGGAAGGAGAAAGAGTTGGTGCTGAGATCGATGAAGTGGCAGGCAGAGGGAGGAGGAGGAGGAAAATCTCACGAGATAATGAAAGAGGAAAAAGAGGAGAGCTGCTAGTGTAGAGCAACAAAAAAAAAAACGAGGCTAGATTTTTTGGAGTGTGAAAACAAAGAGTGAGGACGAAGAGAGCGCGAGAGATTCGTCTGTTAAACCGCAGATGGGTTTTTTTTTTGTGGCACTCTGGTTTCGGTGAATGTAGGACCAATTGTGTGAATCTGCAGGGCTGCTCGGCGACACAATCGGAGACATGCACAGGACGGACAACAGCCGCGGACGCGCTCTCATAAGTGGATAAAAAAAGGTAGGATTTTCAAGCTGCGTAAAGCTACACATGTCGAGGTTTCCGTGTCTGTATCGCCGTCGTGTTTGTCAGTTACTTAACGCGTCGTTTGGCTTCATTACATGTGGCGTAAAAATGTGCAAACGCACCTAATAAGCACACCTAATGCATGCGCACTACTTCTGCATTCATAACTTTGCACAAGAAGGAGAAATCCCATGTTCGAAAGTGATTAAAAAACTGATATGGGTGTTTTCTCGCGTGTTTCGCTGGATGCGCGAGGCAAAATGTGCTAAAATGTTTCTATCGTTGTTGGTATTTGGGATGCACGAGCGACAATTGGTGTTTATTACTGATGAGACACACGTTATTTGGCTGTTTTGCTCTCCTGTAGCGATGAAAGTTTAAATGTAACAGCCTGTCTTGTCTCACGCAGGCACAAAAGCGAGGCATCTGCCGAGGAGCAGCTGAGCACCGAAGAGACAAGAGAGCGGAGTGCTGATGCACAAGTGCGATTAAAATCTCAGTAAAAGCTCCGGATGCTGTTGCAAACCGGTTTTCTGGGAGTTTGAGGGAGTTTGAAGACAGTACTTAACGTTATCAGATAATTAATTAGACACCCCATAAGCCCGGAAATCAATTAATTCACAAATCAATAAATCCATAGTCTGGTGTAACAAGAGAGCTTCCAGACTTTTAGCCCGGCTGTTAAGCAACAATAACAAGAAGAGCAACAACACGCAGGGGCCACACATTTATTTGTAACGGATTGATGATGGATGGGGGTCTAGGGGAGATGTCCCTCCACTCGGATCTGGGTCAGGACGGCAGGGCCATGCTCCACTCGCGGGACCTCTCGGCTGCTTTCCCCCGGCCCTCCCTCGGGGGCCCCTCCATGTCTCTGGAGCCCGAGCCCCGTCCCCCAGGCTTCGATCACTCCATGTCGGCTCTGGGATACAGCGGCGACTCCCCGTCCAGCTCCGGCAGCACCTACACCACGCTGACCCCCCTGCAGCCCTTCGACGACAAGTTCCACCACCATCACCACCACCACCACCCCTGCCTGCCGGTGAGCAACGTCATCGGGAGCTTCACCCTCATGCGTGAGGATCGGGGCCTCGGCACCAACTTCTACAACCCCTATGGCAAAGATCTGGCCATGTCCCAGACCCTGTCCCAGACCCTGTCCCCCCCCACCACGGGATCAGGTTTGGGCTCCTCCATGCACGGGTACGGAAGTTTAGGCAACAGCCCCAATGGAAACGGCGGGCAGATGCTCCACGCCGGGTACGACGTCCACGGGGGAAGCCTCTTCTGCCGGACGTCAGATTTCGGGCGTGAGATGTCGCCGCCGGGCCTTGGCGGAGGCGACGTGTCGGTGGGGCATCAGCTGAACAAGATGGAGGCTCACCAGCACGCCCAGAGCCACCACCCGCACATCTACAGCCAGCACTACCAGCCCCACCACCACCCGAGCCAGCAGCAGGCCTCCAAGATGGGCGAACACCTTCTCTCCACGTCCTCGGCCCTGTCCTCGCCCAACGAGAGCATGATGGGGGGTTCGCAGGGTGGAGGAGGCGGAGAGGAGATCAACACCCGGGACGTGGCTCAGAGGATCATCACCGAGCTGAAGAGGTACAGCATCCCCCAGGCCATCTTCGCCGAGAGGGTCCTGTGTCGGTCACAGGGCACGCTGTCCGACCTCCTGAGGAACCCCAAGCCCTGGGGCAAGCTGAAGTCCGGCCGCGAGACCTTTAAGAGGATGTCCCGCTGGCTGCAGGAGCCCGAGTTTCAAAGGATGGCTTCACTTCGGCTGGAGGGTAAGATCTGGCTTTGCTCTGTCTGCCTCACACACATGCACACACACTCATAGAGAAACCACAACAACAAACACCTTGTTTTCCCCAAACACCTTCCTTCTCCATGTCCTCCAAAACACAAATCCTCTTCTCCAGCAATCAGTATGCAGCTCAGGGTTGAGGGAAAAGCATCACACTGATATTTCCCTTCCTCACACCACCCTGCATGTAGCACTGGTCCGTCTATTGTCTTGGATACTGGGAACTTAGCAGCACATTGATGACAGTTTGAGCCAGAAAGGGCCATATGTGCCATTCCTTTGTTTACTTTGCTCCCAAACAGCTTCTATTGATTTGTACAGTAGCAACAATAAGAAAGCCACAGACATTTGCCCTCCTCTTAAATGAACCGTGAAGATCAGCGTGAGCAGCGGTTGGCAATTTAATCGCTTTTGAGCCCACAAAATAATTTGTGCAGATATGCCACTCTGGAGCGATTGATTAATCCTAGCAGTGATTTATATTTGCTCAGCGTGCGGCTGAAGTTGAGTTGGCAAGGTAGCTGATGCAAATTAGACTTGAGATTTTGCCAGATGGCTTTTATCAACGTCGTCACCGAGGCAATTACTGCGAGGCTAAATACAAATGTTGTGCTGCTCCGTGTGCGTGAGACTCCTCATACCTGGGAAACACGAGCTTACTGCTTAACTGGGGCAGCGTGTAATCCTTAGTGCAGCATCGATCAGTGCACAACAGGGAAATTAATTGACATTTATTTTCATAATCAATTAATAAAAGCCACTTATCCAACAAAAATGCTAAACGTTAGTTTTGCAGCTTCTCAAGGATTTGCTACCTTTTTTATATAATTCGCAAATTCAACATTTTGAGGTTTTCTAAATAATACATTTCAAAGGTGTTAGTTTAGGCTTTCGAGAACTTAAAATGTTTCACAATTTTCTGACATTTTTTAAACTTAACTTGTAGGTTTATGTGGAAAAAAAAAAAAAATCAAGAATCGATGGTCAGGAAAAATCATTAGTTGCAGGCCTGGTATTATTTATACAGATTTCACAGGGTAAAGATTTTTTTTTTTTTTTGAAAGGCACATTATAATCTGCTGCTTGACATTTAATATTCTTTGGGGATGTGGATGGAAGACACGACAGCACGCTGTACAGTGCCGTGTTACAGTGTTGCCCCTCCACAGGGACCCAGGCCCATCTGATACACGCAGCACAGAAAGAGATCCAAGTGAACACAGTAATATGAGACGGGCAGAGACATCGAGTGTGAGTGCGTGTGTGTGTGTGAGTGTGTGTGTGAGTGTGTGTGGTGTGTGTGTGTATCTGCGAGTGGTCTGCTCACTGCAGGGGTCTGTGACGAGGACGTGTGTGTGAGCCTGCCCAGTTGATCAGTGCTTTTCGCTCTCTGTCAGCAGCTCGACTGATTAAGCCCAACAACACAATGGAGTTCATAGGTAATGATTGTGCACTCTTGCAATCCCTTCACAATTATTGATCTTTGATTGTTCGGCTCTGAGAGCACATGTGTACATCCTCCATTCAGCAAAACGTTACAGCAATCACAGCCAGACCTCTTATCCAAAGATGAGTTATCTGTTTGTTCTGCAATTTGACATAAATGCATCTAATCCTGCGAGGTGTGAGCGCTCTGTATGCAAAGCGCCTCTTCCTGTCACACCAAAATCAGCTAATCTTCCTTCGTGATCAAACGTCTCTTTGTTCTTTTGGAGCAGATTTCTTCTTCATCATCATCAATCATCCTTTCTTTTACTTAGCGGTATCTTTGTTTCTTCGTCTTTTTATTTTACCAACACAAACATTATTTTAACGACTCCGAGTCTGAGAGAGCCGATCAATCAGGCTCATAAAAAATTAAAGTCCCTACACAGAGAAGTGTGCTAATGTTTGACAATGCTGCTCTCTCCCTCTCTCTCTCTCTCTCTCTCTCCCTCTCTCTCCCTCTCTCTCCCACACACTCTGAAATTGCATATTTAGTTCTTGGCAAAGCCACAATTTGGACAGCTCGGCACTTTTCTACATAACCTACTTTCCGAAGGGGGTTGTTGTCCCCCCCCCCTGCCTTCACTGGCCAACCCCCTTTTGTTTAATTACAAGCCGCTATTGATTTCCATGGGAAAGAGCAGCACGCCTTGCCCACACACACCTCGGCCGCATCGGCGAATCGAGACTGGAATTAGAATGCGTGGTGCCCTGTGCTCCCGGTCTGAAGATGGCTCAAGTGCTCTCTGCTTCACGCCTCAAGTTTTAAGATGATCCTGTTTAATGCCGCACTCGCTTAAATACAGAAGGCCCTTCAGTGGCAGCCAGCGCGACACCGAGCTATTTCAATAACTCTGAAACACACAGGGCTGCAGAACACAGCCGTCGCTCCAACCGAGCCGCTGCCATTTTGTCTTTTCAAATTTCCAATGATTGTCTTTCTGCAGAGACATTTTGCTAAACACGGAGGAGGTGGTACCTGGGATTTATCCGCAGTATCTTGTGTGTGTGTGTGTGTGTGTGTGTGTGTGTGTGTGTGTGTGTGTGTGTGTGTGTGTGTGTGTTTGTGTTGTCTGCACACACACCAATGCTTACACTTAGAAAAGCATTTGATACCATCAGCAAAACCGTCGCTCAGCCGCACAGTGCTGATTGAAACCTCTTAAAAGTGTGCATTTAGGTAATTGCACGACTCCCCTCAAATATGTTTTAGTCCACTTAAGGCTTCTAAACACCGAGGGCAATGCCGACGCTGCTTGTTTCACTCACCCCTGACGTAACCCGCCTTTAATAGAAAATAAATTAGTTCCCCCCTAAAGTGATTATTACTCACTCACTGCCGCCACATGCAAATGACTTTTATGAGAAACTAATGATGTTGGAGTGTCCACTAAGGGAAAGGGAGGAGAGGGAGTGGAAGGAGATGGACACAGAAAAGAGAGGAAGGGGGGAGGAAGAGGAGGGGGAGTTGGCTCGGTACACAAAGGCAGAGGTTGGTGTTGTGTTTCCTGTAAATACAGAATTACAGCATGTTAGAGGTGGAGGGTTCAGCGATGGATATGCAGAACATGGAATTCAAAATGCCTCGTCTGACTTTCAAAATGGATCTGAGCTCAACCCACACACATCAGGCTGTTGCTCGTCCTCTCTGAACAAAACCCTCTTCTTTAGAAATAAATAAATACATTTCAGACTTTTCATGAGGAAATATTGATTATATAATTGGACGGGTTGCCGCGGCTACAGCGGTGTTTAACCCGGACCCTGCGTTTTTATTTGGAGGTTGGTGTAAGCAAAACAAACGACCAGAAGACTTAATCGCCCCTATCACCGCTTAAAAAGCTATCATATGGACAGTGTTGACATTGAGCTTAATTAGTCCTCTGTGGTACAAAAGAAAAACAGAAATGCAGCAGATAAAGAAAGGCAGCGCCCGGGTGAAATGTGGAAAATACATCTAGGAAGTTTTCAGTGCACAAAATGTGGAAAAATCGAATGCATATTTTTAATGTTTCTGTTTTTTTTTATTGTTTTAGCCTGAGCAGCATTTTTGATTGTGCTTGTTTAGTATTTAAAACCCAGCATCCATTAATACTGTAATCGTTTTTAGCACACATTTGATTGTAGCAAAAGAAAACCTATAATGGGTTCACGTGTCCTTTTGCAAAGTAAGAGTTTAACTGTGCATATGTGTTCAAATGCACTATAAGTGTTTTTGGAAGACCTTCTATTTGGATGAAAACACCAGATTTAGCTCGTTGTCTTCAGGCCAGATGCAGACTTCCAAAAGTGAAAAAAGAGCATAATGAAAAGCATGGAGAGCTTTGGCCTGGATGTGCTTTATCCCAGCAGCCTTCAGCAGCTCACTGGCAACCCGACGTGAGACGCTGAACATCTTCCTCTCCTGCACAACGAAACAAGTTGCTGATTCATCTCTTTTAACTAATCAAAGTTGCTTCGCTAATCTGTTTTCTTTCAACAAATCCACTTTCCCTCGGCTTAATCCATTTGTCCTAGTTAGCCATCCAATCTGTTGGCCACCCTCTGTTCCCCCCTTTCCCCTTTATTGAATGTGTCTTTTCTTGTGCCTGCAGCCTGCAAGAGGAAGGAGCAGGAACAGAGCAAGCTGGAGCGAAACCAGGGCCCGAAACGCACCAGACTGGTTTTCACGGACCTGCAGCGGCGCACCCTGTTGGCCATCTTCAGGGAGAACCACCGGCCCACCAAAGAGCTGCAGATCACCATCTCCCAGCAGCTGGGCCTGGAGCTGACCACCGTCAGCAACTTCTTCATGAACGCCCGGCGACGCAACGTCAACAAGTGGGCCGAAGAGGGCCGCCCCTCCTCCACGGGTTCCTCGGGCTCCAGCGTTTCCTCCTCCGCGGTTTCCTGCAGCACGGCATGATGACGGACCGCCGATTTTGGGGGGGAAGGCGCCGAGGGAGCAAGGGGGCACATAGACTGGTCTAGGCAGAGATCAGCCGTCATAAATGTCCTCCTCGTTATCAGAAGGAGCGACGGAGCCAGCTATTATAGATGATTTTATGAAGATGAAGCATTTTCCCAAAACCAAAGTTGACCGCCGCCTTGAAATAGTGAAAAGGGGGCGTAACCCAGAGTGATATGACCGCAGGATTTGAGGTCCTGCTTGTACAGTCGAGGGTGCAAAGAGTCGCGCCCTTACATAGACACCATCTCATTGCATTATTTTGATTATCTAGATTAGAGATAATGAGGGTATTACAAATCAGGAGGATGCATATTTTGGTGTACCTTCTAATCTATAGTCATCTCTCCAAACGTGAAGAATCAAGAGGTGCTGTTTTGCTCCATTGTGTAATTTTCTTAATCAAAAGTGTTCACCACCATCCAAAGACCCTCCCCCAATGTTCTTATGGTCCTGTTTTTCCTCAAGAATCAAGGTGAACGAGGAAGAAGAAGCCTTTTTTTTTTTTTTGTTACTTCCCATTTTTTTTCTGAAGCACCTAATTCTCCTTTCTTAGCATGTGTTTCCATGGTGATGGTTCCCAGGACTGTTCCAAGTTCGGAGCCTGGATTTATCCGGAGGTTTCTGTAGCGTCCGCGACTCCCAGCTGTCAATCATTAACCATCCACAGGAGGCTTTTTTCCTGTACATTGTGAAGATGGTCCCGCCTCGAACGAATCAGAGTTTTCGAGGGGGGGACGAGCGGTGCTTCTCGCCGTACGCCGGGACGGAATCAATAAACACAAGTAGGACGCAGAAAGAGACTTGTTGGTGCAACTGTCTAGCTTTAAGACTCTCACTGAGCTTCCAGATGAAAGCTCAACAGCCATTTTTTCACTCGAAATCAAGCCAAAAAAAAAGAAAAAATGGAAAACAACCTTTCAACACAACGGCTCCACGGGGAGAGCTGCACCTGACACAATGTATAGTGACATTGTAGTATTTTGTTCCACTCATTACCAAACAACTGTACACACCTCTACTCCATTACGAAATCTTTTTTTTACAGATGTCTAGAAAATGGAGGAATGTGATTCTTTCAGCCCTTTTTGTACAGATTTCAAGCACATCGCTCTATTTATAGAAACACGATGGAGGAGCGGGGCGGTTTGTTTCAGCCCTGCTGACGTACAAGGTCATTTTTTTGGTCCACAAAGGAAAGGCTTTAACATGCCTCCTTATAGCCAATAGATAAATCAAACCAAGAACGTTTCAAATGCAATTTGCTGATCTGATCAATGTATTTATTACTGCATTTGTGTATTTATTTTGTTCCCTTTTTATTTCCTCTCTATTTATTTGGTTATTTATTTATGCTATCTATATACTGTAAGTATTTATTTAACAATGCTCTGTATGTCTGTGTGAAACTGAAGACTTTTTCTGATGGGCACTTTTAGCTGTAGAATCCCATCGTAATACCAAAGATTAACATTGCCTCCCTGAATGTACGGCCTGAATCCCTAAACCCTGTACCCCGTCCCGTCCTGACCCCAACCCGATTCAGCCCGACCCACCCAGTGATGTTGCGTACCTCTCTCTATCTTTAAGGCCAGGCCTTTGTTTTTGTTTTGTTTTGTAGAATAACGGGGGATTTCTTTACTCTTGCAAATGTCTCTGCGGTCAGCTCTTAACGCCAAGGCCAAAGCTTGTTTGAATGTTGTGATAATATTTATAATTATTAATACTATGAATAATAACAATAATGATAATAATAACAATGATGTGGCATCCCATTGGTTCACAGGTTGCTTGTAAAGTTGTGTTCAGACCAATGCCATCTGGCGGAGTGTGTAAAGTGTCTGGGGATCCACTTAAAGCGCCGTCTGAAAGCCTCATTGAGTGCAAGTCCTTCAGGGTCACATGCAAACATGCATACTGTGTGTCTGCCTGGGGAAATGCATGGTTGTGACCCCCCCACCTCCCCGACATCTCCCCCACTTGCTTCCCTCCCCGGTGCAGTGCAGACTCTCCTGTCCATGTCCAACTCAGTGTGATCTCACCGTCCTCCACATGCCAAGCCCTTCTGCCAGTTGTCTCAGTTCCCAGACGGTACTTAGGGGTCCTTCCTGGACCTTTTGGGTCTTTCAGGAGTGTTTCTTGTCTTCTAGGGATCTTGGGTTTATATTCCCTGGGTTCCAAAGGTCGTAGGGTTCGTTACTTGACCTTTTGGGATCCTCAGGTGTGGTCCTTTTCTTCTGGGGATCTAGGGAGTCTGATTACCGGGGATCTTAAGATCTTAGGGTTCGTTCGTGGACATTTGAGTCCTTCGGGCGTATTCATCTTCTTCTGGGGGTCTTGGATGCTGGTTCCCTTGGTTTTCTAAAGGTCTTGGAGTGTGTTCCTGGTCTTCTAGGGTTGTTTTGGTTTGTTCCTTATTTTATTGGCATTCACCTTTGGATGTGAAGCCCTCTTAGTGCTTGTAAGATGTGTCCCTGGACCCTTATTGGCCTAAGAAGCCGGCCTAATCAGTGATTTTAGATTGTCTTGCAAGGCTTCTTAGAACCATCATCTGGGGTATTTTGTAGTTTGTTCCAGGTTTTCTAGAGTTGTTAGGGTCCCCCCAGCAACTTGCACAGGCACAAGTGATTTGACTTTCCAGTCTTTTATGTTGTGAATAATTAAATCAAGAAAAACACCAAAGATCTAACACCTGTGTAAATGCTGCCGTGCCAAAGATTAGCTTGGCTTTTTCCACCTTTTCTCCCCCTCCCTCTTTCTGTCTCTAACGGTAGAAGAGGGCGGATCGCCGGGCCCCCTTCACAGCGTGCACTTGAAAGACGGGCGGTCATGAAAGAGGCCATCGACTTTTTAGCTGACTTCAAAGGGGAGGCTTTTTTCATCCCGTCTCCTCTCTGGGTATCTGGTCTGGGGTCCGCTCTTGGCCAGACCTGTGGGCCTTAGGGGGCATTCAAAGGGGGCGGGGGGAGATCAGAGAGGAGGCTGAACCATCCAGAATGAGGATGGTGGTACTGGTGTTTGTGTAGGAAAGGTGGGAGGGAGGATGTACGAGGGGTAGGAGGTGTTGGAGTAGTGGGGCATGGAGCTGAATTAAACTTTAATGAGCAACAATTGTAAGCATGCTGAGAGCGAAGGGGGGCGGTGGCAGGGGTCTGTCAGGGGGGGGGGGGGATACAAAATAAAAGAGCTTTGAGGCTCTTCTGCCGACCCCTGCTCACTACTGTCATTGTATCAAAGCTGAGGTGACACCTTTCAGGTTTCCCTTTGTCCGTGTGACTGGGAGCCTAAAATGGAGACAGAGCTGTTTGTATTGAGCCACCTTCTGCTTCGTGTCAAGCAGCCAAGCTCTTCCCTTTCTGTACAGATACAGGAGGGAGGAGGGAGGAGGGAGGGGGAAGTGAACCAGTTTGCTGCTGCAGGTGATCAGCTTTGCCATTTTAGCCTGCGGCACCCCCTAGTGGCTTTTCTGGGAACTTGACCCTGAAGAAAGTCTGGCAGCCGAGGCCATTGCAGAGCAAGTCTGAGGAGAGCGTAAATAATGAAATAGAAGGACTGAAAGCAAATGTATACTTTCAAGAGAAAAAAAAAAAAAGAAAAAAAAAAGGTAATCTTTTTGATAATGTTTAAACCAAAAAAACAACCAAAGATTGATGGGTAACTGCTGGATCATTATGTATCATGGGTAGTTTTAGCAGTTCCCTATCAGAGCTACCGTAGCACTCAGAGGATTCAAAAAGCACCAGTGGGGTTCCGCGTGCTGAATATTTATGTTGCATAAAACAGTATTATGTTGAGCTGGAACTGAGAAACTGACATGAGGCAGTGTCTTCAGATGGAAGTCTTTTGACTCTGTAAACCCCAGTGTCCCCCTGTCTGTCCTCCCCTCCTCCCCATGTGTGTACATGAAGACTTTACCCATCTACCTCAACTGTGTGAGATGTTGTGTGGCAAAGATATTCCTTAACCAAAGAATCCATCCTGTCAGGGTGTCTGTCTATCTATCTATCGATCTATCTATCTTGTCTGTCCATCCGTCTCTTCTTCATGCCTTTTACTCCAAACCAAATGTGCTGGAATCAATCCGTAACAGGAGCCGAACGCGGCCCCCGTCCAGCCAAAGCTTTAAGTACAGTATGCTAGTGTCCCATCGATCCATGTTCTGTATATAAATAAAATCATTCTCAAGACCAAAAAAGAAGGAGGTGACAATCCAAGCAAGGAGGATCTTGCTGTAATCAACGTTGCCTATTCCTTTTTTCCCCAAAAAACTAGTGTCATGTGACTCGCTGTAACAGAAAAAGCCCAAGAATCAAGCGCTCATCCAAAAATAAAAAAGGTCGGAGGAGACAGAAGCTATTTTTCCACATTTGTAAGCCACCCCTCCCACCCCTGTTTTTTCCAAAATGTTTAGTGTAGTTGAAATACTGTTCGATCCCACTGTTGTAAGTAGGAATTAATGAAATCCATACAAAAGCTTTAAACGGGGAAGAGCTGAGGGGAATATTATATTTGACTGAGTCTGAGTTTCCTCAGCTTGGACTCGACCCACCATGCTTTATCGTGCCATTCTTGTCCATGTGTTAGACTTACTGATGAATGTGGCTAACCAACCAAAGGCTTTAAAAAAAAAAAGATACACAACACTTTAAACGTCAATCATGGTGGGACATTTTGTATCAACAACTAAAGAAAATCCCTTTGAATACCTCATGTGAAAATTGTTTGTTGTGATGTTGCACTAAAAAAATAAAAATGACTCATTTGTAACCCAACCCTGTTTTCTGTTGACTTTATTCTGACCTTGCTGGACGTGTTAGCGGGGAATCTTCTCGGCTTTTAAAGGGCAATACTGACAATGATATTATATATATATATACTGTATTCGTGAATGAAATGTTAGCCATTCAATCAAACTGAAAGGAAGCAGTATATATTTAATACCTGCTTCTTTTAGCCTT